TTAAGCAATTGGTGAAAGGCATGGAAGGGTTGGACCCGCGAGCTTGGGCTCAAAGCATTTCTCATAGCTTAAGTTCTAGTCTGACTGTGTTGTTTATCATCATAATTTTGATGCTCACAGTCTCATGTCGCTTCTATGGGAAGCTAAGAGATATGAAAAGAGACCATGTTGCCTTCGTGACGCTATTGAATCTTAAACGTAATGCTGAAAGGGGAAATGTGGGATACTAGCACCAAAGAGAATAAAACTGGGACTTATTCCTTGACGGGTACGGGGGGAATCTAGAAGACTGGAATTCCACGGCTGGAAGACTGCCACCCTGGGAGTTGGGGGTACAGTCCAGGTACATGTTCCTGCGGTTGCTTATCTTTTCCACAGTATCTCCCTTGATGCCGTGAAAGTGAGCAAGCCGGGCGGAGGTGAGATATGCTACCATGAATTGCGTCTGACTCCATTACTTGACTCTATCCTTTAACTCTCATGCTCTCTATGACTTTACTATAATCTCTACTTATTATCGCTGTACAATTGCGCCTACCAAACCTGTGATGTTTTGTGGGGTTCCCTCTTATCCTTAACCCCACACCAACTCTAGCAGGGTTTGTGGTTGCATGTGTACCCTGTAGGTGTCGACTTGTGAGCTCCTTGTCAACTGTCTCCCTACCACACTGTCCATCCTGCCCCATAACACATGTGTAGCAGAGAGGGGTACAGGCAAAAGTATAATTTGGGTACTTCCAGCCCTCTTGCCTTTTATGAACCACCTAGGTCTGGTTGACTGGCTTCATTATACTGACCATATGTAGGCTGTGTCTGTTACATTGTTACATTATTAAATATCACCAGAGCTGGTGAATTATATTGAAAGTACCAAGGGACTGCCAAAAGAACAAAAAAATCTGGCTTGAAGGTACAGCCAGAAGGCTCTTTAGAGGCAAGGATGTTGAGACTTTGACTCCTGTACTTTGGACATGTCATCAGGCGAGACCAGTCGCCGGAGAAGGGCATGTTTGGCAAAGTGGAGGGGGAGGGAAAATGAGGAAGGCCCTCAATAAGATGAACTGATAGAGTAGCTGTAACAATGGGCTCAAATATAAGTGCAATTGTAAGGGTCGCACAGGATTGGGTGGTATTTTATTCTGTTGTGTGCAGGATCATTCGCTATAGGTCGCAACAGACTCAATGACCCCTAACAAGTACCTTGCATGCAATCCTGGTGGTTGTGGGTTATGGTGGGCTGCTAACCACAAGGTCAGTAGTTCAAAATCACCAGCCATTCTTTGAGAGGAAAATAAAGCTTTCTCTTCCCATAGTTAATCTCTATAGTTCGGGGAGAGTGGCCTGCATGACCAGCCCACATGGGGGCAAACCAAGAGGGGAGTGCCACAGACCAGCAGTGGAAGCAACGATATGAAGTCCCTGAGGAATACTGCTAGACAACTGGCAGGTGGGGGGGGGG